CATTCCCTTCAAAAGTGATACAATCATAGGAATCAACTTCGGAATCACAGATCAGGTCATTTGCCCCAAGCATGTCTTCGAAGGGGGTTAAGCACCCTTGCGGAAACAACGGCAACAGGGCACTGGAAATTTGAAATTGGCACAGGGCCTATGTTGACTCTTGATGGCTTGCTGGGGCTGACCCAAGACAGAATCTGTGGTGAAGTTGTTCGAACACCATCCAAGCATCGGGGGGGAAAGGAGCTTACCCAGGATGAAGGTACATGCAGTGGAAAATTATCTCTCCAGATCCGTGGCTCTCTCTTCCCTAAAGACAAGCTTGATTGCTTTTGGGAACTGAAATGTCTTCAAACAAAAAAGCGAGTTTTCTCATAGATAAAGCAACCGGATCAGCCCATTGTTGGGGTGTAGAATGCCTTTCCATCGCTCGCATCCTTGACTCCCTGAATGTTGCAAGCATGGAACAAGGAGCACCTTTTCAAAATCAGTGGCTTGAGCTTGGTTTACTTGTCTCGAAAAAGGGGTTCCCTCAAAGTGTGTGTTTTGTCGTTGGTTTCCCTTTATGAAAACCCAAAAACGGTACCATCCCAGAAGGACAGAGCAGGCTCAAGGTGAGTGGTGGTGTCTCAACCTTGGTGAGGGGGGGGCGGAACTGGCAACTTCAGGATGTAGAGTGGACGAATGGCATTTGGTATCTGTCATTTGTGTAGCATTTGTTCACGTTGGTATCGAGTAAACATCAATTGAGTGGATCCGTTCCTCGTGGGAGGAAAATGGCTCTCCAACTGCGGGTTTGGTTCTATCATGATTTTGCCATCTTAACGGCGTAGCTTAAGACTTGTTGACGCTCCTGAACCCAAGAACTCTACTGTCAAAACTTGAATTTTCAGGCACAAGGCATTCATTTGAGCCAGCGAAGGACCTGCCAAAAGCTGCTTCCACGTTGGCATGCTGAAGTTCTCATTTGCCTTGAGATGGACATGACAAGCAAAGCCCATTGAGAAAGCAAGACAATGACACTTATACAACCACACACTGATACATGTGTTCACCAATGCATGCGCAGGGTGAGCGATACTTACATGCCAATGCGCCGAAGCACACCGCTGTTCGCCGCGAGCCTGCGCTGCACAGATTCTGTTTTGGGACTGGACTGCTTTTCGCACGCATCCCGCCTTTCAACTCACCCAGAAAAAAAAAGACACTAGTTGTCATCCTTTCGGGACAACAAGTTTTGACAGCTGTTCAGCTGTCAGAACAACTTGAAGTGGCATGATGTTGCCGCGCATTCTGCGTCCAGTCAAGCGCGTCGAGATGTTTGCACGTATGTGACACCCAACACACACGCCTGACTTAGTCGTTGTCATGAAGAATTGCTCGTTGCACATAAGTTACATTGTTCCACCCTCGAGGCATGACTGAACGGCCAAAGCAACCACAAGACATTATCATGACAAGGGCTGTGCTTCACACCAGATCGAATTTACTGTGATATGAGGGATCAAGCCGCGACCAGCACTCACACTTCCTGCCGCCCCTTTCCCCCACCCTTTCACTTTACAAAAGAACCTGCGATTCTCTATTGGCGTCCAGCAAGTTGGAGTGAGAAACGGCGAAACGGTGCAACAGGGCATTGTGCATCTGAAGGGAATACTTCGTAGTGCATGTGCAGTTAGGCGTGGCGCATTGATGGGCATGCGGATACAAAGCATCTCGCGGGTCTGCGCAGCGTGAAGTTGCCACGTGTTCCCACAATGACTGGCATGTCGACACCGACGCTCTAGCTATGATTGTGGTGTAGCAGCCTGGGGTGTCATGTTGTGTTCCCCGGCGCGATGACTGGTTTGACCCCCTGCGCCTTCTGGGGCCCTGAAGTTAAGTTCCGATTAGAAATGGGCTAGTTCCCACTGCGTGGGGGAAAAAACACTTCTACAGGGGGTCCTCCCAAAGGAGACTCCTCCAAACAAAGTTGTTTTTTTGAGTTTTTCCATTGCCAGGAGTGCATTTTTATGGGACCCATGGTTTTTTATCCGGGCTTCCGAGCCTCAGGCGCGGTGGTTGGCCTGGTCTCCTGGCCCGCCACGAAAGTGCCGAAGGCGCTTCTCATCTAAAAAACACAAAAAGGGTTATCTCACTGCTCTGCTCAAAAGGCTTAAGCTCACTTCCCGAATAAATGGGCACCAAAAAGTCCAGACTTTCTACTTGCCACTCAAGTGGTCCAAACCCAAAAAGTGTTCAAGTCCAGGAACTCAGGAAGTGAGATGAGGAGAGAGCCACCAAAAAGAGACGGAAGGGAAGTCTCCTTCGGGTTCCTTTGTTTCGCTGGGTTGTCCCTACATCCACTAGGGTGTCCTTCGTGCCAGGTTTGGCAAACCCCCAAAGATGGCTCCCTTTTTGTTTGACCCCTCCCCCAAAGATGGCAAAATGCAACGGTTTGCGTCAGCGTTTGACCAACTCTTCGTTTGGGGTTGCTTGCGCACATCGAGTTTCGTTTCAAACTCCGGGGCCCTTGGCCCAGCGGGGTACGTTTTTTTGTTTCCCCCGTTGCCAGTGGGCTGGGGTGTCTTCAAGTCGTGGTGGGATTTGGATGGATTTTGGGGAGGTCACATTTTTTAGTATCTTCGGACTGCTTCTTGGAGAAGTGTGAAGCAAGGCCCCAGAAAGAGACAACCATTTTGAAAGTCTGCACCAAATCCAGCCCCGGGTATTGACACCTGGCCTCCAGATAGTTCTTAGCAGAAATGACTGTCAAGCCGTAACTTGCTCGTTCATAGAAAATATGGAACAACTCTGTACCAGCCATTCGGTTGATAGAAACTACGGACATAATTCTGTACCAACCATTCGTCACATGAATTGCATTCAATGGTTAGAGGGGGTCATTTTTATGGGAATGAGTTTCACTGAGCAACACAAGAAATGCCAACAAGGCAAGGACAAAAGCAACCAGAGCTCATCCTGGGAATCGAAAAGAGGTATTTTTTGGAGATATGAATCCTGTGTTACGCCACGCTCGGACACAGAATTTGGAAATCAGCGACAGAGTTGCAAAAAGACAACATGTTGACCCTGTTTGGCGACAGTGATGTGCTCGAAGCAGTTCCAATTTCAGGGCCCTGGCTTGCAAACAAATTGTCGGGGTCAAGGGCACATGCTGGGAGTCGCCCAGGGTATTCGTGAAATCCAGTGGGGAGTGGATGTGGCAATTTGCCATATTTCTGCTTTTGAGGGTACTGTAGTACCCTCCCTTTGTTTTTCGTGGGGAACCCGAAGGACCATCACTTTTGTTTAGGGAGGGGTTCCCTTAAAAAAAAACACACATATTCATCATGGAACCTACTGCGGGCAGCCTGGAGTAGTATTCGAGGAAATGTCGGAAGTGTCACCGGCACATGCCCTGTGCACTGGTAGCCCGCGATATCCGGGACGAGACCGGGCTGTGATCTGGTGATTGCCATCCAAGTACCACATCTACTTGCTGAAACCACTTCATCAGGAAGCAGGGACATCGATGAAGCTTTTGCACATGCACATAGACCAGAAAAGGAGAAGAGTCAGAACTCGAGATTCGGATGAGACCGCGGTCACCCATTGCCCAATCGGCGTACTCCTACCCAGCCGGTGATATTTCTTGGGAGTCAAGGGCGAGTCTTGGCAAGTTGAGGTTTGTGACACCATATTTGGCAATAGGTCCAAGTAGTGCCCTTTTACCCTTTTTTGGATGAGGGTTCCCCTACTAAAATAGACCACAGAAAAGGGTAACCTGATTCTAACCTCTCTACTGGAGGACCTAGGGCAACTTGGTTTGTTCGTGCCCAGCATAGTGTCGTTCCATTGGACAATGTGGTATTTTGAGGCGCAACGGGCGTCTAAGTATCACCGGGGATTGGCCATGGCCGCTCCAAACTAGCACGGCAGCTTTTCCAGCTGTGCCGATAAATTGATCACCTACCATCTTTGCTCCACCCCCGCCCCTGTTGGATTTGTGTTTTGTAAACTTCATCGCTTGGCTATGTTTCAGTAGGTGTGTGCGTGTGCGTGTTTCTTTGCTAAGGCCGTGTTTAAGGGGGACGTTGTTTGACCGTGGTAACAACGGTTTGCCCAAAGGCCCCGCCCCGTTTTGCCGAGCTGGGTTTGTTTGTCTTCTTCGGCTGCATGGGAGGTGTGACCTTAAGTGGTCGGACATGAATCCCCACTTAAATGATGTCCACCAAAGGGTCCCCGCTGAAGACTCACCACTCACGTCCCGCAGGCCAAACCGCGAGTGGTCATCTACGGGTACCACCCGGTGCTCATTGAGCCGGTGGCGGCGTTGCAGGCGTCGAACAAGTCGATTGGAAACTCACGGAGGGCGGAGTCTTTTGTGTTCAGAAAGACACGTCGTGACATGTCTTTCAATTCATCAATGGTGGACAGGGTTTGGAAAGCGACAATCCTCTTGAAAAGGCCCCTTTTCCCACTTTCATGATTGTGGGAGAAACCATGTTCACTGGGGATTTCTGCAAATTTGCAGAAGGAGCCCAAAACAGGCTGTCCCTCAGGCCGGAGATGTCATTCAACAAAAATGGACGCATTTTGCGGGTTCCATGCCAATCTGGAGAGTATGGTTGAACTACCAAGAAGCATTCCCCGCAGTGTTTCCATTTATGGTTGGAATGGGTTCATGCAACCATATGGCCGTGGGTCAAAATCCCGTACCCCCAGTGAACATCCCAATCCCCACCAAAATAAACTAAAATGGGTGGTGCACCTACCCCAATACCATTGGTTTTGACCCACAGCCATATATTCCCCTAACAAGAGCTATCAAGAGTTATTGTCACTTTGGGATTCATCCGGAGGACCAGACTCATCAGAGTACTGATCAGAGTGGAGATACAAACAAGCCCTGACAGCCCGATAAGCATGGTCACCGGACGTGCGAAGTGAAACGCGGGGGGAGTGGGTGGGGTGGTGGTTGGTTGGTTGGCTGGTCAAGCCAACACAAGCCCACCCAACGTCAAACCCAAACCCGCCCAACAGCAGCCTGGATATCGGCCCCCAGCCCCAAACAACCCAAGACCCGCCCTCATTAAGATCCAAGCCAAGCCTAAACCCAGCCGCCAGCAAGTCCCAACTGCCACCAGAGCCAATGGGCAGACCTCGTCTAGGTTCAAGGCCGCTGATGCAAGGGATGCGAGCCAACCTGGGCGAGTAAGAAACCAGAACTGAACACCTCAACCAGGAAGGAGCGCCTTTGCCTGTCGAGGTTTTAGGTCAAATTATCAAATCCATGTTTTCCTGCTTTGTTCCGTGGGGAGGGGGTTCGGGGGGGGGGGGGCGGGTGCGGAGAGGACGTCATGGGACGTCCAAAAAGTCCTCCTTGGTAATTGTAGGGACAAACGACAAGCCTCACTTGAAAGCATGCAGACAACTATACACGAAGTCATTTTTGTTGAGTGTTTGGCCAACTTCGAATAGCTGTGATGTCCTTTCTCCGAGGTCAAAGAAGCTTCCAAATTGTGACATTTCTGGGACCTCCCCCCACTTTTCTGTCTTTTTCTTGTTCCTTGCTTCGGCGAGGCGGAGCTGCTGTGGTTCGGCGTGAGCCCTCGGGACTGCGCCTTCTTCGGGGTGCTGTGCCACCAGCGCAGAGAGGCGAAGCGCGCGGTGCGCGCCAAGCTCAGCGCCTCGAGCCTTTGAAAACGTCGAACGAAACGAAAGGCGTTGAACTGCCAATTGGGGCAGTGGATCCATGGGTTGGATCTTGAAGTTTGGTGAAAAGCGTTTTTGGAGAGTTTGGAGTTTGGCTGGGTTCCACATCTTTGGTCTTGCTTGATTTGTTTCGGGGACATGCGTGGTTGCTTGGTTCGTCACGAATCAACAAGTTCGCCAACCGGGTGTCTACTGGTTCAGCGCCTTTTTGGGCCAGATGTTGGTTTTCCGAGAATCAATCGCAAGTTGGATGTTTTGCAAAGAGGGAAACAGCCACCAAGAAGGGAACGGATTGGAACGCTCGCAAGGCCGTGTCGCTGGCATGTGATTGTTGGTTGGATGTCTGTCATGTGTTTGCGGGGAGCTGCATAGGATGCCACGTTTGCGAATATACCAGGTGCGAAGAAACCGAAAAGATTTGGCCAAAACAGTAGGTTTTGCTTGGTTGAATGGGCGTGGTGAGGCCGAGAAACCTAGCCCTATTGGGCCAACCACATATGCGTTGTGTTCTTTGCTCTAGATAGGACTCGTCGGCATCCCCCCAAAAAGCCAGGGTCCCTTTTCGGAAAACCCTTTGAACCCTGAGAAGTTTGATTTTGCCGGGGGGTCACCTCAAAAGTGGCGGGCTCGCGACTCCGATGCTTTTTGTTTGGCCGTGATGGATGTTTTTTTTTTTTTTAAATACAAATATATTTTTTGGGGGAGCGAGGTGTCCTTCAAATTTAGCTCGAAAGAAAGCATGGCCGCTGGCAGACCAGCAATTCCTGTACGCAAGGGGATGGCACAGAAGGCGAATTGGCATGCGACGCCGCAAACGACAAGTAGAGAAGCTTAAACGGCTTGACCTATGCTCAGTAGATTGAATATTCAGTAGCACCCCAGTGTGTCGCTTTCAAGATGCCGTCCTCTTCTGACCCTTGGCTGCGGTTCCTTACGCAATTCCCTTTTCTTGCTGGTGCTCAGCAGGGAACGGGGGAATGATCCCCGTAAACCATCCAACTGGTGGCTTCCTTTAAGCGAATCCTGAGGTTCATTCCCTCATTCCCTACGTATCGCACCGATCGCAAGTTTTGAAAGGCATCAAGCATTGCAGGCCTCGGGAGTTCCCATGGCTTCCGAAAAGCATAAGACGGCTTTGCAGGGTCCATCTCATGAGGATTCTTGACCTACAGCTCAGAGGCCGACGAGAAGGAGGTAGAAGCCGCCTACAAGGCCGGTCTGTTTTCTTGGGTCCCGGACACTTTTGTCGGGGGACGCCAAATCACAATGGCCATTCTTTGGAGGTCCCACACCCTCCTGGGGTTGTTTAGCAAGGGAAGCCAAATGGCAAGTTGCCAATTTTTGGGGAGGTTCGCAGCCATAATTCATGTAGGCCATTCTCTCTACTAATATCCATTTTGGGTTTGTTTCTAAACCCTGAAAATGTATGGTTCATTTGGTTTCCCTTTAAAACCATCCAAAACTAGCAGGTGTGCACTCAAAAAGAGGCCCAAAACATCAGATACTGCAAAAAATTTCAGGTACAGCCCGAGGGAAACCCCAGGGACACCTTGGTTGGTTGGGGGGGGGGGCCTATGGATGGCTTAGGCCTTCTGGGAAGCCGAGAACTTGCGGGCGGACCTGGTGCTGGCCATGGAACTGAGGGACGCCTATTTCCTCTGGAAGGTGGCGCAGGCGGAGCGGGCCTGTGGCTTTAAGGGGCGTTTTCCGGTTTTTCCTTGGGGTTGTCGTTGGTTTCTTCTTGGGTTTGTGTTGGGTTTGTGTTGGGTGCTTCTTGGGGTTCCCTTGGTTTCTTTTGTTGTCCCTCGTGCTTCTTCTTGGGTTTCCCTTAGCTTCCTTCAAGCACGCTTTACATGGGAGGTGGCTGAGGCGACTGAAACCTGAATGATTCGGTTTCCCATGTTTAGAGAAAAGCCGCGTGACTTCAAGGGTTCCATCCCGTTTTTCAGACAACAAGCGAAATGGGCTGCTGATGTCGCCAGACAGAGCAGTTCAAAGGTGAGGGTGTCCATTCAGAAAATGAAAGTTCCAATCCCATGTTGGGGAAATCACGATTTAAGTATTGGAGAGCTGAAGCGGAAGTGGAATGGGTTGGTAGGACATGTTTTGAACTGGAGCTTCCCCAACGGTTTTGCTGTTCGAAAAGCAACCTAAATCGGCTGGCAGAAGTGGTGGGAAAAACAAGCCACGCAATTTGCTGGGCTTCTTGAACACATGTTTAGGTTGGTATTTCCAATCGAACCCCCTTATATGTATATAACCACCCAAGGCCAAGCAAGGCAGAATGGTTGAAGTGCCAAAGTGGGGGCAGTGGAGCGAAGCTTTGGTTTTAGCTTCTCTTTTTGAGGGAAAGCTGGAAACAAAAGACCGGGACCTTTGGATAAGAGGAAGCTATTGGCATGTTCACGGCGGCTTGGAATTGCGTTCCGAGGTTGGCAAAACTCATTTCGGATCCACTTGGCAGCCCAAGTTTTCATCCAGAGGGGATACCCTTTGGGAATCTTGGATATCTCGATTTAAGTCGCAAAGACTGGAGCCCTGACCCTTTTCATCCGGCAGAAGTGAAGTGGGGAGATCTCGCAGTTTCCTCAGGGTGCGTCAGTGGAAACTGTCCCGGGTTCTTTGGGACGCAAAAGGGCCACGTCTGAATGTAAGCAGTCCCATTTTTGGGCGGCACCTTACTCCCTGGTGTTTTGGGCTTTCCCCAAAAAAACGGTCACCAGGAGTTCTGGGCAACTGAGTTGACATGCCAAAGACAGGTGGCCACGATTTACTACCCGGCGATGATCTTTATGCAGGACGAGGCAACACTGAAAATGCGTGCAAGTTTTGCCCCGAGTTCCTCAAATTCCTGGACTTTATAAACTATTTGAAAACACCATTTTAGTGGGAAAAAAGCTTTTTTGGCCCATCAACTCAGGAAGTGAGCCCATTCTAGCACTTTGCTACGCAGCGACAAGGATGCGATGCTTTGGACGAACTGCCACTGGAGTTGGGGCTCCAGTTCACGGATGTCCGCCCTTTTGGCTGGGCCAAAAGGGAAAGTGCAGAAGCTTGGATTTGATCATGACATGTCAGCATGAACATGTTGACATCCGGTTACCCTTTTGGCTAAAGGCCTTGAGCCACCGGCAACACGCGGTGAAAACAATAGCAGCTGCTGGCGCCATTGGGTCGCCACTTTGATCGTGAACACTTGCTTCAGAGTGAAGCACACCCTTTGACAAGAGCCCCATCATCTACAAGAACACAGCACTGCGCACTCCCTGCTTGCTACCGCATTGGTAGCGGAGCGGGTTGAGCTCCAGTGTCTTCATCGCGGACGCTCTGCTGAAGATCACGGGCAGGCACACGTGTCTTGGTTTGCTTAGCAACCTGGCTGGGTGCTGCCTTGCAGAACACTTCGGTGAGGACGAGGCCGAGCCCAATTCTCCAAGGAAGGGCAACTACTGCGCCTTCCGGAACCTTTTCTCAGTTGCTGTAGACGTCCACTATTTCTTGGAGAAGTAGGACGCAGGCAACTTCCCTCTTACATTTCTCCATTTTGATTTTGTGGTACAGCAACCTTCTTGCTGCATAGGTCACACTTTGCCTTCAACATGATCGGCACGAACACTGATGGAAAGATAAGCTTCTCGACCGGCGAGACAGTTCCTTCGTGGGATGGAGCACCTCGTGGTTGGAGGCGCTATGTCAAGGAAGTGCAGTGGTATGTGCTGGGCACTAAGCCCAACCTTCGGCGCTATCTGGCATCACGGCTGATAACAAAGTTGTCAGGCAGTGCTAGGCTCCTGGCCATGACCTGGAAACTGTCAGATTTCAATCAACCCAATGGAGTTCGAACCCTCCTCCAGAAGCTTTCGCAGTCACCCTTGGTCCGTAAGAGCCTTCCTAACGCGGCATCCATCATGGGACAATACTTCGCCTTCAAGCGCCATCGTGGTGAACAAATCTCCAGCTTCCTCATCCGCGAGGCCTTGCACTATGAGGAGTTCCGTGAGTGCTTGATCCACCTCAAGGAAGAACAGCTGGGACGAGGACCTGAACGTAACGGCTTTGGAATTCCGGAAGATGAAGACGAGGAGGAATCGGCCAGTCAAGATCAACCTTCCGAAGAAGGGGGCACGAGTCCTCTTCGTACCTCTCAAGCTCAAGCGAAGGCCAAAGCCAGACCTGAGGGCTATTCTCGGCTACCTCAACGTGATCACGACGACGACGAGACGATACTCTCCATGAGCGATAGCTTCATCCTGGAGCAGCTCCGAGGCTGGAGACTTCTCACATCAGCGAGTCTCTCCTCGGAAGAATGGCGTGACGTATTGGGAACAACGCAAGGCAAACTGGATTACCAGTCCATCAGCGACGCCTTGCAGGTTCTCTACGATGAGGAAATGGTTCCTGCAGCCAGACATTTCAGTACATCTCATCCTTCGGCCCATCTCAACTTTCATGAGCAAGAGTGGGAAGATGCCGATTGGTCTTGGGCATCAACTTCGGAAGATTGGCACGAAGATGAGAACTGGAACCACGCTTTGGAAGATGATAGTTGGTGGTGGAATCAATTTGAGGGAGATCAAGATCAAGGTGATCATGAACTGCCTCATGATGCAGACACCTCCACTCCGGTTTCAGAATCTGCTGCAGAACACCTTTTCCAGGAACAACGTACATGGAATCAAGCTCACAGGGCATCGGCTGCTATGAAGAAGGACCGCGGCTTCGGTAAGGCTTCCTGCTTCATATGCGGCAACAGCAATCACCTGGCTAAGGACTGTCCTGATCGCAATGCTCCTGGAAAAGGCAAAGGCTATGGATCTCCCAAGGGATTCGGCTTCAGCTATGGCAAAGGGCGCGGTAAGGGATTGCACTACTACGACCTTGACGACCCTTACCTCAACTTCATGAAGGGCAAGCACAAGTCCTCTTCCAAGGGTAAGGGCAAGTCTTTCGACAAGAACGGCAAGGACAAGAATCGTTCCGTCAACGCCTACATGCACAACTATTACGGGTTGCAAATGGACATCAACTCTCAACAAGCGTTGACACCTCCTCATGGACAACCAGCGCAACTTCTCGGTCCTGAGAGTGGAATGGTTGACTCTGGTGCCACATGTTCAGCCGGCCCAGAGACTAGTGTGCAACGCCTGATCGCATCGATCATGGACAAGGATTCCGGCGCACAGATCAAGGTCCAGACAAAAGATCCTCCTCGTTTTCGGTATGGTTCGGGCAAATGGGGACAAGCTCTATACAAGGTCACCATCTCTTCAAGTGTGAGTGGAAGCCCCCAAAGTTTTTCATGCTTTGCCTTACCAGACCCCGAGGAAATCCATGAGAAATGGTTCACAAACCGGATGCTCGTGCCTGTCTTGGTCGGTATGGATTGGTTGGGCGCCAATGGAGTTGGAGCTATCATTGATTACAACGACGGCCACTGTTGTTTGTGCAACTACGACTCCTCCGTCATACGCCTTCCAACTAACCACAAGGGGCACTATTTTCTGGATGTGGCTCATTTTCTCACTCAGGGAAAGACCAATCAAGGGCAATCAGTGCATGTGAATCTGGAGATCGATGATGTCAGTGAACCCCTGCTGGTAGAAGGACAGACGATTGAACTTCTAACTGTACATGGCCCCTGGCATGGATCCCCTCGGGATCTCCAATTGTTCCACCTGCCTTCTTCTGGACCCAGTCAGTTGTTTCATGATTTCTGTGAACGCCGTAGCTCACTACAGCTACAAATGGGGACGTGCCCGTCCCGACGCAATTCGACATTCGCTTCCTCTTCAGAGCTCAGCCATGTCCCACAAGAACAAGAAGTCCGAGACAAAGCAAGAAGTCAAGAAGGACCTGAGTCGTCAAGTGGAAGCAGATCCGCGGGACCCCAGAAGCAGTCCCGAGATGTGGCCGTGTTTCAGCGAGCATCAGCCCTGCAAGGAGATGAGCAATCGTTGGGGAGTATGGCAAAACTGCGGTCGGTGCGGTTTGCGTCTGATCTATGTCCCGAAGGAAGGATCCCCGGCGAACTCTGTGCAGTGCATCAACCCCGGCAACATGCTGAAGGCTCTCAAGCAACTCCAAGAGACCTTGCCCATGAACATGGAGCCCAACGAGGAGTTGGTTCGCGCCATGATGGAGAAGGTCATTGCCGAGGAGCGCATGAGCGTCTTGCTGAAGGAATACGAGAAGGCCTGGAAGAAGAACAAGGAGAAGATCCAATTCGCGAAGGCCAAGGTCAGCGCCTACCCCAACGTCAAGGAGAAGGAAAAGGACCCTCCAAGGGCTTCCTCCACTTCTGCCAGTCCAAGCTCTCCAAGCAGTTGGACACAAGTTCAGGACTCCAAGGAGGGCACTTTGGAACACGCTCTCAGCATGCTGACCGAGGACGAGAAACTCCAGATCCTGAATCTCGCGCAGAAACGCAACTTGAGCAAGCCACAGACAATCCCGGTGAGCGACGAGGAGCTGGAACCCGACTACAATGCTCAGTAGATGAAGATTACAAGAAGCAGCTTCCTCGACGTGTCGGTCATCATATGATGAACTTGCTCCTCATGCTCAACAACCAGCTCAACCAGGACCTCGCCTTCGTCGTCTACGGCAAGAACCCAGTCGTGTGGGAGATGTTCTGTAGTCCTGAAAGTCAGCTGACGGAACAAGTTAATCGCGAAGGGCTACAAGGTCATCGCATCAACCTGGCCAACGGATTCGACCTCTACAAGGAGAAGACCTACACAGATCTCCAACGTCTATGGCAAGCACAACTACCCAAGAAGTGCTGGGTTAGCACTCCATGCACTCACTACTGTGATTGGTCCGAGCTCAATTACAAGGACCGTTGGGAGGAACTTCTTCGCAAACGAAGGAGAGAAAAGGCTATGCATCAGAAGCTCATGAGTTTCCTCCTGACGAACCTGCAAAAGCACCCGGAGACCGAGCTCTATTGGGAGTGGCCACGTCGATGCCGAGCCTGGAAGGAGCCCCATATGCTCGCCTTCCAAGAACACCTTCGTGAACTCCTTGGACGAGAAGTCTACTTCTGCAAGCTGGATGGCTGTAGGTATGGTCTCAAATCCTCGCAAGGACATCATCTGCAGAAGAGCTGGCTCATCCTCACGACTGACCAGATCTACTACAACCAATTCAGACTTCAGGTATGCCTCAAGAACCACGAGCACGATCACGTTCAGGGAATCGAAACCAGCAAGAGTGCCTATTACCCTGTCGCCATGTGCAAGGCAATCGCTCGATCGTGGCGGAAGCAGTTGATTCCCGAACGTTGGCTGAACTACCTCTGGACGGCTCCCATCATCAAGGACACCTTCAAGGAGATCTATGTCGGTGATGCCGATGCACCCATTCTTGAAGGTGACGAACTAGAAGTACCTGAAGACGGCGATCCTGGAGAACCTCAAGCAGAAGGATCCGTACCTCCTGGGCATCCTTCTGATGAAGATCGAGAACGATGGAAAGTTCAACTTGTGCGTTTCCATCGAGCTGCAGGGCATCCTACGTCAAGGAATATGGCAAGAATGCTTGCAGATGCACAACTTCCTCGCTGGAAAATCCAGGAATGTCTCTCCTACAAATGTCCGGTATGTGAAGAAGTCAAACCGGGTGGCATCAGCTCCAAGCAGATCAGCCCTGCAAGCGTTCACGAACTACCAGAACCGTGGGAGCACCTGGGTATCGACGTTGCTGAGTGGGAAGTTCCCGGCGTCAACCTCAAGATCAAGTTCGTGCTTCTGATGGACATGGCCACCCGCTACAAAGTCACGGAAGTCCTCTTCGAGACGAAGCA